AATCAATCCGTTGATGAGGGCAGCTTGACGGGCAGATGAAATGTAGAGGGTGGAATGATGATGCAGGAGGCAGTGAGATCGGGTAGTTAGGAGAAAGAAGATGGGTTCATGCAGTGGGACAAGGAGCAAGTCAATTCGTCGATAAGGGCAGCTTGATGAAAAGATGGAATGGTTTATTCAGGAAAAATAGGAGGTCGAAGTAGGTGAAGTATGTCACAGCTGATAATATGAACTTAAATGTAGTGAAGTGGAATCCGTTGATGAGGACAGCTTGATGAGTGGATGAAATGTAGAGGGTGGATTGATGATGCAGGATGCAGTGCACAGTATTCAGTAGGATAGGGACGATCAGCCCAAAGCAGATTGAAGCAGACGTATGGGGTTAAGAGACGGCAGTTAAGAGGTAAGTTGAAGGCAGTGGTTGCTGATTCAAGAAGGATGGGAGGCGATGATAGGTGGTGTATGAAGCCATGAAGAAAAGACTATTGTCAATATAAATGATTGATAATGTCCGAGTGAAAGGTATCAATGACGAATATCAATGGTTGGATAGCGGAAAAATGAGGAAAAGTATTGAGGTGTTTTAAAGATTGGGTCGTTATAAGTGCAAGACGATCGCGGTATAAAGAGTTGACGTATGGAAGGTGACGAAAAGAGTATGGAGAATGGAAACATCGGAGAACCGAAGTATGAAACAATGCAGAATGAGACTATGTGAAGGACGATTGAAACACCGACGATTGAACGATGGCCAAGATAAACGATGTATGGAGTGAAGGGCGGACGAGTCAATGAAAATTGATGGAACGATTGAAAAACGAAGATTGGACATTGAGTAGTAGTAAACTGAGGCCAAAGGAGTTTGAATCAGGTTGAAAGTAAGAAGTGTCATCAGAGGGTTCCATCAATGTGCCATCAGAAGTATAAAACGAGACGTGTCAATTCAGTCGTAAAAATGATTATATAAAATGATTGTCGTAAAAATGGTATCAAGTCGAATTCAAGTAGAATTTCAAAGGGTCCGAGCAAAAAAAGGCTTTGAAGTCAAGTAGAAGGCTTTATTTGGAAAAATTGGCTCAATAGAGGTTGATAATGGGCTCAGATTGCCTGGACAGGCAATTATTGATTGGATATTTTGGCTGAGAACGAGAGGGTCATTGGCTGGAATTTTGCTGATAAAAGGTATAATCAGAGGCTGGTGAAAATGGCAGGTCAACAGTCAACAGCAGGGGGTTGGAAGGAAAACAGAATTGTCAATGAAAGCAGAGTTTTAGACGAGGTGAACGGTTAAATGCGGTTCAACTCAGAAATGGCTTGAGAAGATCGTGGAAATGGCTGATGTGGATTGAGATGATGTGGTTTGTCTAAAGAGCATGAACTGACGTGGTTTGTCTGAAGAGCATGAGGTGATGTGGTTTGTCTGAAGAGGATGAGGTGAGGTGATGTGGTGAGGTGATGCTGTTTAGATGAAATGGTTTAGGTGAAGCATTGCAGTTGAGGTGTGCAGATGTCGGCATGGATTGATGAAACGAGAATGGAAGGTTTGCAGATGCGAATATGGTTTAGCCAAAGCAGAATGGAAGAGTTGCAGGTGGGGATATGGATTGACCCAAGCAGAACGGAAGAGATGCAGATACTAAGACCAAATTAGCAGTCAGAGGTCCAGCAGATGGTAAGGGGCAGCAGGGGTGAAAAACGAAGGGTAACGGATAACACAGGGGCCAGAAGCGTTGACGGGATTAGGGTATACAGGGGCCAAAGGCATTGAAACTTTAGGGTAACACAGGGGGCGAAGGCATTGAAATGTTTAGGGTAACTTAAAGGGCCAAAGACGTTGAAGGATTTAGGGTAAAACAGGGGCCAAGGATATTGAAGGGTTTAGGGTAAAACAGGGACCGTTGCAGTAGCAGACGGGGACAGCAGGTTCCAAAGCAGAACAGTTACACACGGCCCTCAGAACAGAGCAGCTACACAGCATCACCCATCAGCTTGCCTGGTTTTGTCTTGAACGAATCAACCGCCAACCATTAGTCCGGATGTTGCATTAGCTCCTGTGGTCATAAGGAGAATACGGGACCAGGAACCACCAGCACCAACCACCAGCCACCAGCCACGAACCACCAGCACCAGCCACCAGCACCAGCCACCAACCACCAGCAACCGAGCAGAAGCAGGAGCAGCATCTCAGAACGCACAGCGGCTACACAGCATCACTCATCAGCTTGCCTGGCTTCGCCTTGAAGAAGCCACCGCCAAGCGTTGGTCCAGATGCTGCATTAGCTCCTGTGGTCAAAAGGAGAATACGGGACCAGGAACCACCAGCACCAACCACCAGCCACCAGCCACGAACCACCAGCACCAGCCACCAGCACCAGCCACCAGCACCAGCCACCAGCAACCGAGAGAAGCAGGAGCAGCATCTCAGAACGCACAGCAGCCACACAGCATCACTCATCAGCTTGCCTGGCTTCGCCTTGAAGAAGCCACCGCCAAGCGTTGGTCCAGATGCTGCATTAGCTCCTGTGGTCAAAAGGAGGACACGGGACCACGAACCACCAGCCACCAACCACTAGCCACCAGCCACGAACCACCAGCACCAGCCACCAGCACCAACCACGAGCCACCAGCAACAGCACTACAACCCAGCAGAAGCAGGAGCACCACCACAAAACGCACAGCAGCTACACAGCGTCACTCATCAGCTTGCCTGGCTTTGTCTTCCATAAATCCACCACCAAGCATTCATCTGGGTGTTGCATCACCAGCACCAGCATCAGCACCAGCCAACAGCCACCAGCAACCCAGCAAGCAGGAGCAGCACCTCAGGACCCACAGCAGCTACACAGGGTCACTCATCAGCTTGCCTGGCTTTGCCTTCCATAAATCCACCACCAAGCATTCACCCGGACGTTGCATCACCAGCACCAGCATCAGCACCAGCCAACAGCCACCAGCAACCCAGCAAGCAGGAGCAGCACCACAAAACGCACAGCAGCTACACAGCGTCACTCATCAGCTTGCCTGGCTTTGTATTCCATAAATCCACCACCAAGCATTCACCCGGACGTTGCATCACCAGCACCGCACCAGCAACAGCCACTACAACCCAATAAGAAGAAGCAGGAGCAGCACCTCAGGACGCGCAGCAGCTACACAGCGTCACTCATCAGCTTGCCTGGCTTTGTCTTCCATAAATCCACCACCAAGCACCCCGATGTTGTCATCAGCTCCTGGGGTGTTGAAAAGAGGATACAGGACCACGCACGAGCCACCAGCACCAGCCACCACCACTACAAGGCACCAAGGCAGCTACACACGAGCAGAGAGCACAGCAGGTACACAGCGTCACTCATCAGCTTGCCTGGCTTTGTCTTCCATAAATCCACCACCAAGCATTCATCTGGGTGTTGCATCAGCTCCTGTGATCAAAAAGAGGATACAGGACCACGAGCCACCAGCACCAGCCACTACAACCCAGCAGAAGCAGGATTACCACCAAAGCAGCAACTACACAGCACCACTCATCAGCTTGCCTGGCTTCGTCTGCCTCTGTCTTGAATCAGCTCACCACGCTATCAAACCCTGGCCAATTCCATCAGCTCCTGTAGTTTGAAGAAAGTATGGGGAAACGACGCAACCAGCACCAGCCACCAGCACCAGCCCCACAGCAGCAGGAATAGCAGCAATGCAGCAGGACACACAGCAGATACACGAGCAGAGACACAGAGCAGCCCCACCGCTTCAGCATCTTGTCTGACATCCATCACAGCTTCCCTCTTCAGCAGACCCCACCACGACCAGATACACCATCAGGGAGAGATGAAACACAGCAACTGCCACCACCACTGCCACCACCACCGCCACCTCCACTGCCCGCCAACCACCACCCACCATCTACCTCTAACGTCAGTACAGCAACCTTCCATCAACCCAACCATGCGCCCACGAGCAGAAACTACAAGAACCAGGAACAACAGCACCTATACACCAAGAACAGCCCCCAATTACACTGCAGGGGTAGACACATATCAGCTGACGCAAATTTAACAGAATCGCACTTCCTTAGCTCTCATCCTCACCTGTCCAACCCAGACATAGAAGCTTTTTCCTCCACCACTCCTCACGTCATCTGTCCAACACCTTTCCCCAAGACCTGTCAACCTGTCAGACAGTCAGTTATTATTACCTATCTACCAACCACTCCAGCCAAAACCGCCAGCACCACCTCCCTCACTTCACCCGCCACCCAAGCTGAACCAGCTATCTACCCACTTTCAGCATTTCCACCTGTTACCACTTCCGCCTGTCACAACACCCGCCGCCTCTTGCCTCACTCCATCGCACATACCCGACTTGACCTCTCCACTACGTTGCACACGCCCCCATCACTACGCCTCAGTCTCAGAAAATAAGTTTTGCCCGCCGTCCGCGACAGTCTACCACTCTACGCCCGCAGTCGGATTGTCGCGCCAAACCTCCTCCGCCAGACCTCCTGCTGGCAAACTCCCATCTCCATCCCAATTGCTCGCATTTGCCGCACGCCCACTCGTTCCAGGGGTGTAGCATCCCTCCCTCGCCCTCGCCCGTCCCTTGCCCGTCCCTCGACCCTCTGTCCCAACGTTTGCTACAGCATTACGGTACATGCATACCAGCAGACGTGCAGACCACCACAACCAACTCGTGCATGAACTCGAGCCTTGACCCGTCCTGCCAGCAGTCACCATTCTCCCTCTCGTCCCATCTGCAGCCACTCCCCACCGCCCAATGGTCCCCAGCAGCCCAGTAGCCCGCAGGTGAGTCAACTAAAAAACAGACGTGCAGACCACCACAACCAACTCGTGCATGAACTCGAGCCTTGACCCGTTCTACCAGCGGTCCCCATTCTCCCACTCGTCCCATCTGCAGGCACTCCCTACCGCCCAATGGTCCCCAGCAGCCCAGTAGCCCGCAGGTGAGTCACCTAAAAAACAGACGTGCAGACCACCACAACCAACTCGTGCATGAACTCGAGCCTTGACCCGTTCTACCAGCGGTCCCCATTCTCCCACTCGTCCCATCTGCAGGCACTCCACACCGCACAATGGTCCCCAGCAGCCCAGCAGCCCGCGGTTGAGTCGACTCAAAAGCAGCCAGCAATCACCATTCTCTTGCTCGTCCCATCTGCAGGCACTCCACACCGCACAATGGTCCCCAGCAGCCCAGCAGCCCAGCACCAGCGGTTGTACGTGCAGGCGCGGAAGCCACATGTCCGCCACCCCGCCCGCCCGCCGCCCCGTCCGTCCGCCACCCCGCCCGTCCGCCACCCCGTCCGTCCGCCACCCCGTCCGTCCGCCATCCCGCCCGTCCGCCACCCGTCCGCCGTACACTCATCCGCCGTGCGCCCATCCGCGCATGTGTTGTCCTCGTCCCTGCGAACGCCAATCGCCTCTGCGCCCAGTGTCCCCCTCCCACGCGTCCCACCAGCTTATCTCTTCAACCTGCAAAAACTTGGGGTTTGCTGAGTGTCGACCAGATGCAGCCTGTGGTTGTCCCAGCAGACGTGCAGACTCAGTAGACACACCCGTGTTGCTCTTACCAACCGCATAACCGTCCGCCGTGCGCCCAACCGCACTCGTTCCGAATCCCGTGTCCCCCTCCCACACGACCACGAGCTCATCACTTCAAGCTGCAAAGTCTGGGAGTTTGCTGAGTGTCGACCAGTTGCCGTCTGTGGTTGTCCCAGCAGACATGCAGAACAGCAGACATGCAGAACAGCAGACACACGCGGCCCATACCCGTCCACCGATACACACGACTTGCACTGATACACCGCTTGCGCCCATCCGCCGTGAGCGCATCCGCACTCGCTCCGAATCCCGTGTCCCTCTCTCCCATGCGTCCCACGAGCTTATCACTTCAATCTGCAAATGATGGGGGTTTTCCGAGTGTCGACTAGTTGCAGCCCGTGGTTGTCCCAGCAGACGTGCAGAGCAGGAGACACACGCACCCCTCGTCAGTCCGCAATTACACCCGCTCGCCGCGCGCCCATCGCACCCATCCGCCCCGTGCGCCCATCCGCCCCGTGCGCCCATCCGCGATTGCGCCCATCCGCGCCGCTCACCACCGCGCTCAGCCCATCCCCACAGCTAGTGCTGTCCCATCCATACCCATGCCTGTCTCAGCAGACGCAGACAGTCGCAGCAGACCCTCGTCCTCGCTAGCCAATACCCTGTCCAACAAACTCCACCGTGCACCCACCCTCAACCATACCACTGTTCGTGTCCCAACTGAAGTAAAAAACCTGCAGAAGTAAGAGAAGGGGATTGGGTGGGTGTCTCCCGTTGCAGCCCGCGGTTGTCCAGCAGACGTGCAGACAGAAGCCACTCGCCACTCGATCCCACAGCCGTTCACACTCGCCCGCGTTTCCAATCCCACACAACCGCTCGTCACCCGCACGACCCCGCGCGTGCGTCCTCACATGTCTTCCCGTGCAGCAGCAAACTTGGTCCTGCAGCCGTGCAGACAGCAGACACGCGCGTCCCTCTCACATCGCTCGCCCTCCAGAAACCATCTTCTTTCATCCCTACTTCCTTCTTACTTCCTTCTCGCGACCTGCAAGGGAAGGGGATTGGGTGGTGGGTGTCTCCCGTTGAAGCCCGCGGGTGCAGACGTGCAGAGGTGACTTTTGAGTCGACTCAAAAGTCTCCCGTTGCAGCCCGCGGGTGCAGACGTGCAGACAGCAGCCACTCGCCACTCCCTCCCACCGCGTTCACGTCCGTCCGAGTTTCCAGAAGTCGCTCGCCAACCGCACGCCCCTGCGCGTGCATCCTCACGCGTCCTCCCATGCGCCCGCGTTCGCATTCGCCCAATTCTCCGTCAGCGCAACTGCTCGTCTTGTCGCTGGCACGCCCCCCCCGCGTGCATCCTTGTGGGTCTTCCCGTTGCAGCCGTGCAGACGGCAGGCAGACACACGCGCGCGTCCCTCTCTCACGTCGATCGCCCTCCACCCTGCATCACCTCCACCAACCGCACTTCACACTTCCTTCTCACGACCTGCAAGGGAAAGGGGTTTGGTGGGTGTCTCCCGCTGCAGCCTGCGGTTGTCCCAGCAGACGTGTAGAGAGCAGACACACACGCACAGCCCCCACCAGCCTTCCTGCTCACGTTCCGCTCGCTCGCGCCCCTCGCTCTGAACCTCCCCGTGCGTCTTCCCATCAGCGCCCGCGGTTGTCCCAGCAGGCGTGCAGACAGCAGACGCGCGCCACTCGTTCGTTCCTTGCGTCTTTCCGAAGGCGTCTCTGTGTGTTTTTTCATCCTGCAAGACAAGGGATGGTTCGTTGGTGCCTCCGGTGCAGCCTGCGCTTGTCCCAGCAGACGTGCAGGCAGCAGACACGCGTCATTCGTTCCTGCTGCCATCTCTTAAAAAACGCCTCCAAACGTCCTTGACCTGCAAAGGGGGAAATTGGTGGGTGTCTCGCGTTGCAGCCTGTGGTTGTCCCAGCAGACGTGCAGACAGCAGACACACACGCGCGCGCATCACTCTGCCCTCGCTCCCTTCAGTTGTCCCTCCACGCATCTTCCAATCAGCGCCCGTGGTTCTCCCAGCAGACGTGCAGACGGCAGACGCGCGCCACTTTATTCTGCTCCTTGCTCCACTCGTTCGCCTCTCATGCATGTGTATTTCCCATCTGTGTTTTTGGTCGCGGGGTGTCTCTCGTTGCAGCCAGCAGACGCGTCATTCCTCGCCACTCACTCGCTTCACTTTAGACCTGCAAAAGGGGGGGATTGGTGGGTGTCTTCCGTTGCAGCCTGCAGTTGTCCCAGCAGATGTGCAGACAGCAGACACACACGTGCGCCCTCCCTTTACCCGCCCGCGTCTTCTGGTTGTCCCACTCGCTCGTTTCCCTTCTTCATGTTCACTCGCGTCTTCCCATCAGCACCTGCGGTTGTCCCAGCAGACGTGCAGACAGCAGATGCGCAACACCTGCTACGACCGACCCTCGCCCCACGCGCGTTCACGCCTCAAGCCCGCACTCCTGTGTCTTCCCATCAGCACCCACGCTTGTTCAACGGACGTGCAGACAGCAGACACACCCACCGACTCCCATCCAACGAGTTTGTTTCTTTGCTTCTCAACCTGCAAGGGGGATGGCGAGTGTCTCCCGTCGCCGCCTGCGGTTGTCCCAGCAAACGAGCAGCCAGCAGACACACGCAACTTGTCACGGCCGTCGCCTGCGCGTTCACCCCTCGAGCCCACACCCGCGCCCTCGTGTCTTCCCATCAGCACCCGCGGCTGTTCAACGGACGTGCAGACAGCAGACACGCAGCCTCACATCCAACGCGTTCGCTTCTCAACCTGCACGGAAAAAGGGTTGGCGAGTGTCTCCCGTCGCCGCCTGCGGTTGTCCCAACAGACGTGCAGCCAGCAGACACGCGCCAATCAATACCGTTCCTCGCCCCACCCTCGTTGGTCACTCGTTCTCGCTCGGCCCGTACGCCCTTCTCAAATGCCCCTCTGGTGGTCCTTCAAGATCCTGCAACAACAAGGGGTTTGGGGGGTGTCTTCTCCTGCAGCCTGTGGTTGTCCCAGCAGACGTGCAGTCAGCAGACACACGCCACTCGATCCCACTCGCGTTCGCCCAGCACCTGTTCTTCTCTCCCTCGCGTTCGCCTGGAACCCGTTTTAGCACAGCCGCCACAGAGCCACCGGTTTTAACCTGCAAACACAAGCGCCTCCCGTGTGTCTTCCCGTCTCAGCCAGTGGTTCTTCACTCGGCCGTGCAGACAGCAGACACATGGCGTCCATTCTTTGTGTGTTCAAGCCCCGATCAGCACCCCGCCCTTTGCGCCTCAACGGTCGCTCGCCCACAGTGCTTCCTAGACCCGCCACACCCGGTCGACTTGCACGCGTTCGTTTCAGCAGAAGCAGCTGCCCCAACGAATACGCCGACAGCAAAAAGTTTGTCTCAGCAGTGCAGGCTACCCTCTCCCCAGCACGCTCTCTCCCTGCCCTGGACGCACAGAAGAGCAGCACACACAGCAAGAGCAATACCAAGCAACAACCACCTCCCTATTCCATTAACAGCTACAGTTCGCGAGGAAATATGCACGAGGACTAGAATGTTGCAGCAACTATAATCTGATCTATGCGCAACAAACACTTCAAACACACCAGCTTCGGTTGGGCGGACTCTACGCGTAATTACAGGCGATGATGACCAATGGCAAACAACACGAACAGCAGGATGAACGCAACGATGCAGACACGAGGACGCGGTGGTAGACGCGTAGATGGAAGCAGAGGAGTGGACGAGTCGACAGTGGACGGCAGAGCAGAAGCAGAGACGTGCAGACAGCAGGCGGAGAGACGCAGGAACGCAAGAGCAGCAGACGGCAGCACGAGGAGAGGCACAAAGCAGGCGCAGGTAGAAATGGCGCAGAGGGGGCGAGGAAGAGAAGCGCGGCAGTGCTCGCAGCCTGGAAGGGGGACGCGGGAATATGGCTGGCGGGGCGAGAGACGCGGAGAGAACACAGGTTATGGGGCCAGGGGGGCCCAGGGGAGGGGGGGGGGAGGGGAGGGAGCGGAGGGGAGGGAACGGAGGGGAGGGAACGGAGGGGAGCGCCAACCAGGAGAGAGCCAACCAGGCAAGGAGGAAAGGCCAAGAGCATCGACGTCTAGAGCACTGCACGATGGTCAAAGGAGGCAGCAGCGATGGATCGGAGAACTAGAGAGTCACACTAGAGAGTCACAACGCATTAGAACACAAGAGTCACACCGCATTAGGAACCTGACGAGGAGAACCAAAACGCGGGTGAACGAGAAGGGACGGCCAAGGGAGAGGTGGGGGAACGCGGCCTGTGGGGACGAGAGCGGTGTGGCTTGGAGAGGAAGGGAAACAGACACAGGTTATGGGGCCAGGGGGCCCAGGGGAGGGGGAACGGGGGGAGAGAGGGGGAGGGGAGGAGAGGAGGGAGGAACGCCAACAGGGAGGCAGGAGAACTCGAAGCGACAAGACAGCCAAAGAGCACCGACGTCTGACACACTGAACGATGGACGGAGGGAGCTGCGATGGTCAAAAGGTGTACTGAAGAGCACAGGAGACCTAATGAGGAGCACGAAACACCTGACCGGCTGGAACCGAAACACCCGACACATCCGAGGACGGTTAGACGACCCACAAGAGATCGTAGAACGCACCCTGTGGGAACTACGCAGTGTGGCTACAGAAGGGAGGAAGGAGACAGAAGGTTACAGGGCCAGGGGGCCCAGGGGGAAGGGGAGGGGAGGGGGAACGCCAACCAGCACTCGTGTAATGCAAGGAGCGGACAAGGGTCGAGGCTATAGCTTGAATGGAGTGAGGTAGACTGGAGTCAGCAGGGTGTGAATAGGAAAAGCTCAATATTGCCGGTGCAGAGGAGATTAATAACGTTCTATCACCGATAAGTAGCCTGGCGAAACTGTAGCTGACACGTGGTGAGCACCAAAAGACCCGAAAAAACTCGACTGTTAGACGATACACCAGAGGTGGCAGGCGCAGCCTGTGGGAATGACGCAGTGTGGCTAGACGAGGGAGGAAGGAGACAGAAGGTTACAGGGCCAGGGGGCCCAGGGGGAAGGGGAGGGGAGGGGGAACGCCAACCAGCACTCGTGTAACGCAAGGAGCGGACTAGAGTCGAGGTCACAGCTTGAACAGACTGATATAGACTGGGCGCAGCAGGGTGTGAATAGGAGAGTCTGATAGTCCAGTTGCGGAACGAGTGTGGCGAATATGGTTCAATCACCTATCGTTATAATCTGGCGCATCTGCAGCTGACGCGTGGTTAGAACCGAAAGACGCAAAACACCGGAAGGGTCAGAGGATCTAGGACAGGCGGCAGTAGGCGGCCTGTGGGGACGAACGCAGTGTGGCTAGAGGCGGGAGGAAGGAAGGAGAAACAGGTTACGGGGCCAGGGGGCCCCAGGGGGGAGGGACGGGAGGGGGAACGCCAACCAGGAAAAACGCACGCGTAACAGAATGCGACTGACTAGAGCTGTAACGGATGGAGATATACTGGACGCGGCAGGGTTAGAAGAGAAACCGCTTGACATTTTCAGAACGGAAAGGCTGCATCATTCAGTCACCGAGTGTTTGACACATCTGCGGCTGTGCTTGAACCCGAAAGACCCGAAACACCAAGACGTTCGACCTGAAGTGCCAGCGCAGGCTGTTGGGACACATGCAGTGTGGCTACACGAGGGAGGAAGGAGACACAGGTTACGGGGCCAGGGGGCCCCAGGAGGGGAAGGACAGGGGAACGCCAACCAAGAAAAACGCACGTGTAACGGAATGCGACCAGGCTAGAACTGAAACGGAAGGAGCTACACGGACGGAGCGGGGTGTGGGAATAAAAAGAGGCTTGGGCTATTCAGGCAGTGTAAATCGTTCAGTCACCGATTGCTTGACGCATCTGCGGCTGTGCTTGAAACCGACAGAAACGGAATCCTGGACGGTTAGACGATCAACGATAGGTCGCGAAAGCCAGCCTGTGGGGACGAACGCAGTGGCTAGACGCGGAAGGAAGGAGACACAGGTTACGGGGCCAGGGGGCCCCAAGGGGGGAAGGAAGGGACAGGGGAACGCCAACCTAAAAAAGCGCACGTGTAACGGAATGCGACCGAGGCTAAAGCTGAAACGGAAGGAGCTACACTGACGCAGCGGGGTATGGAGGGAAAAGGCTTGTAAACGTCAGTGGACAGGCTTAATAACTCAATCACCGATTCCTTGGCGAATCTGCGGCTTGCATGTGCTTAGAACCGAAAGACCCGAAACACCAGGACGCTAGACGACCGACGACAGGTGGCAAAGCGCAGCCTGTGGGGGTGAACGCAGTGTGGCTACACGAGGGAGGAAAAGAGAGACACAGGTTACGGGGCCATGGGCCCCCAAGGGGGGAGGGGGGGAAGGGACAGGGGAACGCCAACCAACAAAAGCGCATGTGTAACGGAATGCGACCGAAGCTACAGCTGAAACGGAAGGAGCTACAGTGACGCAGCAGGGACAAAAGGCTTGTGAACGTCAGTTTAAAGACTTTCACTCAGTCACCGATTGCTTGGCGAATCTAGGGCTGCAATGTTCTTGACCCAAACCACCTAGAGGGTTAGACGATCGACCACAGGTGCCAGAGTACAGCCTGTGGGGATGAACGCAGTGTGGCTATAGGAGGGAGGAACGAGAGAGACACAAATTACGGGGCCAAGCAGGCCCCAGGGGGGAGGAGGGAGGGGAAGGGGAAACGCCAAGCAGGAAGAGCGCACGTGTAACGCAAGTAGTAAGACCACAGCTTCAACGAAAGGAGCTATACTGGGCGCAGCAGAAAATGTTAACTTTAACAAAAAAAAGGCTTTGAAATTCCGTGCAGGCTCAGTCATTCGATCACCAATTGCTTGTCGCATCTGCGGGTGAGACGTCCATACCCAAGGGAGACCGAAACACCTAAACGGTTAGACGTTCGACCACAGGTGACAGAGCGCAGCCTGTGGGGATGAACGCAGTGTGGCTACACGAGGGAGGAAGGAAGGAGACAGAGGTTACGGGGCCAGGGAGCCCCAGGGGGGGGGAGGGGAAGCGGAACGCCAGCTAAAAAAAGCGCACGTGTAACGGAATGCGACCGATACTACAGTTGTAACGGAAGGCGCTTCAAAGACGCAGTAGGATAAGGAGAGGAAAGGCTTGTAATCGTCCAAGGCTCAGTCACTCAGTCACCGATTGCTTGGCGAATCTGCGGCTGCCATGTGCTTGACACCGAAAGACCCAAATCACCTAGATGGTTAGACGATCGACCACAGGTGCCAGAGCACAGCCTGTGGGAGTGAACGCAGAGTGGCTACACGAGGGAGGAAGGAGAAATGCACAGGTTACGGGGCCAGAAGGCCCCAGGGGGGAGGGAGGGAAAGGGGAACGCCAACCAGGAAGAGCGCACACGTAACGCAACGCGGAACGAAACCGTGGCTACAGCCTTGACGGGAGGAGCTATTTTGGATGCAGCAGGGTAATCAGGAACATGTCTCTTTCAAACAGCAAGTTTAGAGGCTCAATCGTTCCATCACCGACTGCTTGGCGAATCTGCGGCTGACACGTGCTTGCGAGCGACTCACTGACCAGGAATCCTCTGCTGTGCTGCTGGCAGGGCAATCACAGCAAAGGGACTGCGGAGGAGAGAAAAGCACCTTAGACCCCAGAGCCCCCAACGGGGATGGGGGAAGGGGGAAGGGGGGAGGGGAGGGAGATACACAAGGGGACACGCCTACACCAAAGCGAGGCACGCGAAGCTGAACGAGACGTAAGGGAAGAGCGGGTTAAATGAACACAGGGCTGGTGTCTACGATCAACCACACCGTTAAGCGTCCGCAGACACAGTCTGTCTCAAGCGGAGGCGGGCGATTGGGCGAAACGAACTGGCCGCAGACACCCTGGTGTGCTGCTGGCAGGGACCCAACGGACAGGAGGGGCGAAGAAAGGGAAACTCAAACTCCAGAGCCCCAGAAGGGGATGGGGAAGGGAGGGAAACGAGGCAAGAAAGCCTGGAACCTACACGCAGCAACGAATGAAGATCTAAATCCGACACTCTTGACGGTTAGTCCAAAAACGAAACGCAGACTCCAGAAAATTAAACGGCTGCACATGGCTCGAACTACCCGAATCGTCCCGTTAGCGAATTTGGTGCCACGCTTTCCGTTAGTCCAGAAGACTACTCGGACGACAACCTGTCGCCGTGTCTGCTGGCATAAAAAGGACTACGGGAACAGTGGAGGAAAGGTGAAACCCCAGAGCCCCATACGGGGATGGGGACGGAAGGGATGCAAGATACAGCAGGTCCTACGAGCAGCAACGAGTGCCAAATCGGAGATAGTAACACGGTAAAGGCCGACCAATTGAAACGTTGAAACTGCAGTGATTCGTAGCACTAGCTACCCGATATTCACCAATTGCTGACTGAATCGCGAGACGTCGCAAAGCGAGACAGCACCAGTCGGTGGACGAACGCAGGGCCGTCAGTGCTGTTAGTGGGAAAACCACACCCAAGCACCAAGGCAGAAAAAAAAGGTGAAAGCCCCAGAGCCCCCTCGGGGGGATAGGGT